ACTCTTACGACCAGGTAAAGGAAAACACGGCTGTTAATTGAGCTAAGTCGTTCCCAGATTACTGTTTGCTGGGAGCTTGGTATTATTTACATTCTTGCTTCTAATAGTGATACAGTGGGCTACACACACATATTCCTTGCAGTCTGTGGTTTCCAGTGCCAAGCTATTCCAAGCTGAGAGGTAGTGCTCCGTACCCAGCACTGATGATTGCTCCACTGGGTATTAGAGAACAGACAGAAGTAATAACATATGCTGTGCACTAATTCAATGACAGTGTAAATAGCTCTGTAGTCATGAGTAGCACCAGTTTGCTGCTCCATTCAAACCAGAACTTAGAGCATGTTACATATTGTTCCTTGCTGTTAAATAAGCCAGTAATATCCAGTAGTTACCCCATGGTGAAACCTGAGAGGTCAGAATTTCCTTATAGTTAGAATGGGAAGTAACCGTGGCATTTGTGGGCCTAAGCTGGCTTTTTAATTGTTACCTCTAAAGTGAATGTAATGGGAAGTGGGGATGTAGAAAGTCTCCTCTCATGATATAAAACAACTTTCACAGGGAAGACCCACAGCAGCATGCTCTAGATATTCATTATAGAGAATCTAGTCAAGCAAAGTGAGCAGAAGGCTGGGAACTCCTGAGTTCTTAGCTTAGCCCAGCTTCTAGATCTATTAATTAAACTATCTGTGCCTCAGTTTCTCTGTATGTTGGGGATAATGTCTTCCTCACAAGAGTGTTGAAAGAATTAGTTAGCTAACCTCTCTGTACAGTGGTTTGAATACAGAAATAAACTATACGTGCTAAATCTCATTCTTATTTGCTGAAAGTCTAGCATGCTAGTATGGGACTGTTTTGAAAAGGGATTTACTAAGCAAGATTTCTTTAGCACAGTTTAGCGAATGTATCGTGCAAATTGATGTACCTAGAAACTTGTTTTGAAACTCCTGGTGGTTTTCTTGTTGATGCTTAGAAATACAATGCAGATAATTTTGTCTTGTGTGTTAAAATAAGCTTTTGTTTTAAAGCATCGGCAGGTTCTGCTTAGAATCTATTCCAAAAATTATAAAGTACGCAGGAGCGTCATCCAGAATCAGTTGAGCCAAGAATGTGGAGAGGATCTAAACAAACAGGAGATAGATAGAGTGATAAAGGTATGTATCACATTTAAAAATCAGGTACAAAGTTCCTGTTTAATGGTGGTTTTGATTCAATCGGTATCAGAGCTTTTAATGTTTTGGCACGGAAAAAAACAAGATTCTTCCTGGAGTTACATAAAATGATGCTGGTGTTAGAGTGGTTTCTGTTTATCATGTGGGCAGAGCTTTATTTTCACTGTGTTCGATGTAAAATACATTTGTTACATTTCCCCTGTTCCCCAAAGGGCATTGATTTTTGAATCCATCATCATATGGTGTTCTCCCAACACATCTTTTTCTGATGTGGGCTAACAATGAATAGAAAGTGTAATAAATGTATTTTTAGGTTGATTATTAAATGGTATTGTGTTAAACATTGAAGGGGGAATTTTCAGCATGACCTGGTGTGAACTTAGGCATGGGATTCCCATTGAAGTCCCCACAGTCCTCACAGTTAAAAATACATTCCCTTTTTCTTGAAGAGAATTTACAGTCTGTAATCAGCAGCATCAACAACAAAACCCTTTTATCAGTTAAAACATTTTATGAATATGAATGAGCAGCAGCAACAACAAAACCTTTATTGGTCAAAAGATTTTATGAAAGAATATTTATCTGTATGCTCTGCCTTTGAAAGAGTTACCCATTGTTTCTCAGTATGGCAAGATGTATAAGGAAAGTCCTGAGAGCCACACAGGCACTTCTTAACAAGTATTATAGTGGTGCGGCGTTGCTAAATAGAAATCTATCAGTTCATGTAACATTTAAATAATTATTGCTAGGAGTTGGATCTCTCTGGCCCTAATTTAGTAAATTGCATGCTTAAATGCTTTGCAGAGTTCTGGCCTCTATTGTAGATTAACTGTGCATTGGAAAGATTAGGGTTTTGTTGCTTTACAGTACAGTATGCAGTCTTTATTCAGTGTCTTTGTTCTTGATTAGAAGAATCTGGTCTCTTAATATTAAGATGAACCTAAAGCATGTTGAGTCTGTTCAGTGTAACACACATACTGCTGGTGCAAGCAGATTTTTAAGATGGGTGTGCCTGAACACACTGACTATAACAAGGAGTTCCCAAACAACCTAAGTATATGTTTTCATGATGCAGCTATTTAACAAGGAGTGATCCCCTGCGTAGGAAGGAAATACACTTTAAACCACACAGCCTGTGCATCTGTGTTACATGCCCAACACTGGGATGTGTGTCAGGCTTTGTCTACCCTGGGAAGGTTTGGTGAGGAAAGTGCTATTGACATGCAAAAGTTGCCAAAAATGAAAACCAGTTCAACCAGTTTTTCTGCCTCCCATTGTTGATATCTCATGGCCATTTTGTCAACAGGGTGTTCGCAACTAGAGGAAAGCAATGTGGGTAAGAATCCCACAGTGAAGTGTTGTGGGAAGGTAGAGCTGATCCCTATGCAATGTGAGCTCTCCGTGCTAAAAAATGTCAAAGCAATACAGCAATCTCTCCAGCCTTTTCCTTACAGCAGCAGTCTGTCTGTTGCTGTGTTCCTAGCAGGGCAGAACAGAAGGATTCCAGTGATTTGTTGTTTGTTCCTCAAATGGAGCAGCTCACTGAGCTGTCAGATACTTCTCGGCACTTTGACAGGGGAGGAGGGCATGCCTGTAGTGCAGAAGAGATCGCAAAACACTGAATACTGCCATCAGGGCAGGCATTGTGGGATATTGGCAGAAGCCAGTTCTTGACAAAAACAACAGCAGAATCCACACTGTCTCTTTGTTGACAATAAAGGGATGAGAAAAGGAAAAAAAGTCATTCAGAGTGAAAATTTTTTGTTGCCTAAACTGGGTGCTTTTTCTAACAAAAATTGCATTATATAGCACCTGGTACAATGAGACTCTATACTTGGTTGGTATTTAGGAACTGCCTTAACAATAAATATCAGCTTCAAAATAGAGATGTTAAATTTAATCGGCTAACCATTTGATTAATCCATAAGGACGCCTCCGCCTTTGAAGTGTAGTTACACTTCAAAGGCAAAAACACTGTGGGGAGCACAGGACCAGCAGGGGACTCAAGCAGTCCCCCGCTGGCCCCATGCTCCCTGCGGCATTTCAAAGCAGTAGCGTCACATGGAATCGGGCGTCAGGCTCCACACAGCGTTTTAAAGCAGCAGCAGCGCCGCATGGAGCCCGGGATCAGCGGGGGGAGTCCTCAGCTGGCCCCGGGCTGCACGAAGTATTTCAAAGTGGCAGCGCTGTGTGGAGCCCAAGATCTATTCCTGGGCTCCATGCAGCGCTGCCACCTTGAAGCTCCCCCTTTCTCCCTTGCTGCCTCTTTCTGATAGAGGCAGCAAGTGTGGTGGGGAGATCAACTAGTTGTTCACATCCCTACTTCAAAAGGCCCAGTTCAGAAGATTGGCTGCAATCTTTCAATGCTTACAGTCCTCCTAGGGTTGCTGGATCCCATCCAATGGCTTAACTAATCTGCTCTGAAAAGTTTGAATTGCTCTGGTAGTAGTGCCATCATATTTAATGGAAGGTTCATGATCCAGATTCTGTTATAAGTGGGTCCCCAATGTTGCCACTATACTCTTTCATTTTTACATTTTGTGTCTCTCTCTCTTGGAATCTGTTGTGATTTGGGAGCTTTCTGCCTTTTAAGGCTAATCAGTAATACTCTAACACTAGACTTTTCAGCATTAGTAACTGCTTTTTCCATTCTCCCTAGGATTGCTGTGTAAGCCATGCTGGAATGTGGTACCTTAAAGGGACAGTGCAGTCTTGACAATGGTGGTTAGCTTTTTACTCCCTTATCTCCAGGACAGAGGAAGAAAACTGCAGTGGACATAGACAGAATAATGCCTTTGCTTCAGGGAGCAAAGGGCAGAATCTGACCTACTTGTGGCCATGTGGGCACTGCAGAAAGACGGTTAGTGATGTCAACATTCACACGCTTGTTTGCATGGCAGAGAGCAACTAGGAAGAAAATGTGGGACCCTATCTGCAATTTGATGAATTTGGGATTCCTAATGTACTTTGCTTCTCATTATTTCATTCTAATAAAATTAAAACATTTACTGACACAGACATGATGGAAAATCATGGTCTAATATTTTATTTTGTAATTAATGCCAATAAATTGTTACGTCTTTGTTTACAACATTCAACTTTTATTAAATGCGTAGAAGGTCATGCTGTAGTCTCGAGTGTTAAAGTACTCCCTCTTCAAACAAACCTACTAATGCTCTTGAAAGTTTTATATGCATCTGGGTTGTGGAGGTGAAATCCCTATGTCTTAACATTGTACTAATTATATAGCAAAAACAGTCTCACCAACTGTTGGGCACAATTTGTTTTCAAAAGTAAGTCCATATAAAGCAGATGTAGTGTGTTCCACTTGATTTTTTTTGCATAACTAGATGCAGGTACGAGGTAAGTAACCTTATGCACCATCTGAAAGGTGTCCAACTGTAGTTAATACATTTAGTGGTGTAAACCCTATATTTTATGTAACTTTTTCAAATAAAATTTTACTTTGAAGGTTGACTGTGCCATCAGCTCTGATCCCCTTGTGTTTGTCAGTGAACAGATAAAAGCAATGTAATCTCTTCTGTTAACTTTACCTAGTCCACAAAATCAGGGGGGGGAAAGCAATATGCAACTACATATTTCAAATCACTTGGTATTCATTATGGTAGCATCTAGAGGACTTGTGTTCCCTCTAAGATTTTTCCATCCTTGGGCAGTTTGAAATTTCTTATGTGCAACACCAATCTTGAGGTAGTGTGTGGATGTGCACCCACCAGTACAAATAAAAATTATCTAAATATATATTTTAAATAGTCCATAGATGTGGAAGAAAATGTATTAAAACAAGGGATAATTAACAAGGAGCAATGCTTATGATTATTTAATATGAAATTAAAAAAAAATCAACACTACCCTTTGCTGAAGAAGTGGGTTGTGCCCACGAAAGCTCAAGATACTATTTATATGTGTTAGTCAAATGCTACAGGACAGCTAGCATCACACCTAGTACCTGATACTGCTGACTCATAAGAGCCAGAAATACAGTTTATCATGTATTAACTAGTAACACAGGATTTAAAAAAATAATTTTAGATATCTGCAACACTCCAAAAAAATTGTTAGAGAAAGATTCTTTTTTCTTTCCTTAAGCCCCTTAACACAGAGGTGGGGAATATTTGATGGTGGGCCACTACAAGAATTTAGTAAGTGGTCAAGAGCTGCACTCTTCCAGCTGGGATGAAGGTTGGGTGCAGAAGGGAGTTTGGGATAAAATACTGGGGTATGGGATCTCGGAGGGGGGTTGAGTGAAGTAGTGGATTGTGAACTGGGGCAACAGAGTGGGGGTACGGAGGGGGTACAGGGCCTGGGAGAAGGTTGTGACCTCAGGCAGGAGTGGGTGCAGGGATTTGGGCTGTGACCAGGGATGGTGGATTGAGGTGCAAAGTCTGAGCAGGGGTTGTGACCTGAGGGAGGGGATGCAGTGTCTGGGAAGGTATATGGAGGCTGGAGCAGGGGTGCAGAAGGCTTGGGTTACATGGGATGGGAGGCAGAGGGCGGCTCTGTCTGGGAGACCTTACCTGGCTCCCAGCCATTAGCCTAGCAGGTTCCTTAGCCAGGGTCCCTGCCTTCCAGCTCCTGTACATGCTATGGGGAGCTGAAGGAGCCATGTTTATTGCTCTGAACTGAATGCTGTGAGCCTAGAGGCTGAGGGCATAGGGGCACTTCACATGCTGCCTGTCCTAAAACCAGACAGCTGCTACTGATTGAAACCAGCCACTGGGAACTACTGTTGGCAGGGGCAGTAATAAAAGCCTGACTCCCCTCCCTCCAAGCTCTCAGGCTACATCGATACTGCCATTTTTTGTGGCAGAAAATATGCAAATTATGCTCTCATTTGCATATCTTCTGCTGATCGTTTTTGCAAAAGAGGTTTTGCTGCTAAAAAGCCCCATGTAGAGGGGGCCATTTGTCAGGGGGGAAAAAAACTTTTGGGCAAGATCCTGTAAACCTCATTTTTTGAGGAATAAGGCAGGGAGCCAACTGAGGCTCTCAGGGCTAGATCTGGCCTGTAGATAATCTTTTGCCCAGCCTTGGCGTACAGGCTAGAACCACCTTCTTCATTTATAGCAGACAGTAGCTGCTGCTGCTTCTGCTCCTCTGCGGACAAGTGTCCTGCCACCCCTTCCCCAGCCGAAGAGCTGAGCTCCCTGCCTGTGCTTGGAGTTCTGAACCTATATGGAGGACTCAGAAAAGGACTGTGCACCCACATGGACATGAAGATTACAGGGAACCTTATAGAGGATCTCTAAGTAGAAGAAGCAGGCCCTGTTCAAATAAATCATACTCTGCCATAAGAATTTCATAACCTGACTTAAGTTTAAGAGCAGGTGCAACGAGGAAAGGGGATGTGGGAACTAATTTTTAATAAGTATAGTGTGTTTTTACCATTTCTTGTTTACTCTTCACTCTGCTTGGACTGAAGATAAGATTTGAGCATGCAGCTGTAGCTTCATCTTGTCTTGTATAAACAATTGACAACCATAAGTGAGGCTCTAAGGTAGAATAGACTGGTTAAAATAACAAAATTAATCTGTTTTAACTGCTAGAACTTAAATAAGTAGCAAGTAATTTACTAGATACATGGACAAGATCCTTCTGCCCTAATTTTTGAATGGCTAAAACTCATGTATATTTCATTACTAGCACAGGAAAATACATCCAGCAAGAACAAACTAGCTTCAAACTCATTGGTGCCTCTGAAGTTATGTGCATATTTAAGTTAGCTGTTTTATTTTCCCTTTTCTGGATTCTTTTAAGATGATTGCTTGTTTGTAACAATATTGACTGTACTCAATGACTATTCTATATATGCCTAGCTATAACTGTATCCATAAAGTTTCTCAAAAGTAGCAGCATTCAGGAATAGAATTAGTATTTGTTGCATCTTTTCCAGCATACAATCCACAATAATATGCAAGCATCATTTACCAAAAAAGTAGTCATCTTTGCCTTTCCTGAGAATCAAATTCAAAGTTAACTTGGCTTCATCATACAGAGTGCTAACAGTGTTGTATGGTGCTATACAGAACAGCCAAATATTTGAAAGTTGGATGCATACTTTTTGAGGAACTGATAGTGACTGACCTTCCTTTTTAAAAGAAACTTCTCATGACAGCAGATATTTTGGTGGTGCTCTAGTTTTGTACCACTGCCTGCATTAGATATCTCTACTCATTATGTAACAAGGCTAACAGACAGTCATCCCCAGGAGATCATCCAAAGGGTATAGGGAAGCCAAGCAATATGTAAGGTATAAAAAGGAGCTGATGCAAGAAGAACAGGTACAAGGAAACAACACTGTCGCAGACAGGAGATTGTGGAGCGGGGAGAGAAGCAATATAATAGAAAGGAGAGATTAACCCATCCCCTTGCCTACACATCTCAAGTCTTTAATGAATTTATTTCCCATCTAAGCAAAGGTGACTTATGCGGGGGGAGATGAAGCTATATTTAACACAGATACCATTTGCATGGACTTCAATAACCCCTTTTTTCCATGTTTCACATAGTTGGACAAAAATTAGCAGCAGAGATCCAGTAACTTTACCTGCATGGCTTTATTTGCCGTTTAGAAAAATATTCATAATTTAGAATTTTTTTAATAGGTATTTATTTCAGTACACAACTGCTTACAGTTGAAGTGTCCACAACTTGAAAACTGAATACTCTTACTGAAGGACAAGTATAAATTAACTGGAGACTAGCTTACATTACACAGATGGCAGACAATTTAATTAGAACTATAAAGTCTAACATCATGTACCAACACTTTGATTTATCTAGGGGACAGTTTTTATTCCACAGCAACCACTGATGTTAACACTTTAAAAAGTTAAGCTGCGTCCCTACTCTTGTAAAATTATCAGAATCTTTTAGTGCTGTTATCTGGTTTCCATTCTTTCTTGGCTTCTCAGCCATTGCCATATCCTGTCTTTCTTCCTCCCATTTGATGCAGTGTTCCTCTATAGTCTGTGTTTTCATTAGTTGAAGTTGGTCATGCAATTTTTATTTTATTAGGAAAGATGGATGGAATGAATGGGAAGGAGCAAAGAGAGGTTTAACTTACCTTGGCCCCAGTTCTTATGTGTTATATTCTGGTTCTTAAATTAGTGTTTTGAGTTGTTGTTTTCCTGCTGCTACTAAATAGGTCTAAACAAGCTTGACCTAAAATGGTGTAAAGTGATGTACACCACCACCTGAACTTCTCCTGTCTCCTTTAAAAACAGGTCGGAGGCATTAAAGAAAGCCATTCCTCCATATCAAAGCTACCACAAAGATTAGCTAGCTAACTTGTAACATTCCATCTTATCAAATGACAAAAATGCACTTTAAGAGTATCAATAAGGAACAATAGATCAAAGACAAATATAGTTCACAGTATCTTGCCTTAAAACAGTGCCCTAAACACTGAACTTTCTGAAATATTCATACTTTACATCTAATCCCTTTTTAAGATAAAGACATTTCTGCTAAAAGGAGAAAGTTTAGTGCACATGAAAGCTTGGTATTGGCTTAAGTTAAGCATTGTATAGGTTGCTATGCCAATACCCCTTATTACTGCCAGGGCACATCTGTTCAGACAGACTGCTAATTTCAGTCAGAAGCAGAAGTATACCATTGGTGATTTTAGTACACAAAAAGTTGCAAGGCCAAGATGGAACAAAACCTTCATTTGTGAAGGAAAACATTTCCAACTGTGGAGAAAGTATAATACAATTTCTTCTTAGCTCTCCAGTTTCTGTAGCGCACTGAGTCGGTTGCTGCTACAGAGGACAGGACAAACCTAGTATGCAAAAATTAGGCCAAAATTTCTATTTTTAAGACTGCCAACAACTACCACTGAACAATAATATTTTCTGTGTGGCACAGGTCATCGTGTACACAGAAATAGAGCTGACTGACTGACCACATCATACATATTTACAGGTAAAGTGAACACACATTCAAATTGAAGGGAGTACATGTGACAGCAAGATACGTACAAACACCAGAGGGATACTTAATGTTTCCCTTCTAGACTAATACAAAACTTTTTAGTGGGAGGTCATTAGCATAATTAATACATACCAGCATTAGGGCTGAGAAGAGAAACGCTTATATTTTGTTCTATGTTCATCTATTTCCTGCTTTGTTTTTCTGATACAACTAAAAATTTCCTTAAAGAGAGCTTTATACTCAGGTAGAGTATTTGTGGGCGAGCCACTTAGTTCAACATTTCCATACTCTTGATCAGCAGCTGAATGGTTTGGAATACTGTTTTGATGTTTGTACAGCCTTATGTTTCAAAGAATCTTCATCCATTTGACATTTCTTCAGAAGTTCCTCATATTTAACCTTCAGAGCATTATACTGAGCATCCACTTCATTAAGCAAGGAGATACCTCGCTGCTTCACAGCTTCTGCTCTTCTAATACAAGTTTCTTCATGGCCCATTAGAAGGTCTCCACCGGCAACACTGCTTAGGAAGGTCTCACTGCTACTTCTTTTTAGAGCCCTTTTATCAAGTAAGGGGACAGTCAAGAATGCATCTTCTGAAGGGCTCTGATTAATTTCCCTTTCTAAAGACTCCTTAAATGAGATATAAAATGATTCTGGAACCATATTCTCCATACTGCTGACAAATGTATTTTCAGACTGAAACATCTGCCTCATTTCAGCCACTTCCAATTCAAGCTCCTCTGCCCGAGCCCGGTATAAGTCTTTATCAACCAGCCTCTGTTCAAGGTCACAGTTCTCCTTTACCATAAGATGATACTCCTCTTCCATTGTCACTCGCTTCTCTTTTTCTAGATTAAGTTGTGCTTGTAATACAGTCAGTGCCTTTTTTAAGTTCTCATTTTCTTCTTCTATGGGACTCAGCTGACTATCCATTGAAGTAATTTTTTCTGCAAAAATATGATCGTAAACAAAATACCTGCAGAAACAAAAAAAAGTATTAAAGCTAAGATTTCCTACAACTTTTAGACTGCCTCTTCTGGGTAGAATTCAGAGACAGAATTTAAAATTCTCTGTTGAAAACTAGTTTCCAAACAGAACCAGTTTGGTTGTTTAAAGTATATCTTTGTGCAAAGCTACAATTCTTTTTTACAGGGCTCTAGGAAATTCAGTGTACCCAGTGATACACGCTTCCCAATTCAGGTGGAATGGCAGTTATTTAGTATCAAATTGTAGACATAAAACCTACTGTACAAGCAGATATGTCCTCAAAGAAACACTCTGGACTAAAGATATAGTTTTCTACAGGATATTCCTAGTATTGGAAGATGGACTACATGATGATCCAATAGGGTTTTTTCCCTATTTAACTCGTACAATTTTCATAATGAAATGGATCTGTGACCTATAAGATATCCATACCCAGGGCTCACCAAGCGGCAGCGAGCTCTGCTCGCCAGCCGCACGGTTCGGCGTGCTGCGCATGCGCTTACCGCACTGCACGGCTCTGCCGGCTTGTAATCTACTCGCCACGGGCAAGTAGATTACACTAATTGTCGAGCCCTGTCCATACCCTATAGTTTAAAAGACTCAGTATGTCCACTTTAAAACCTTAATGCCTAGAAGGGTCATAAATAGGGTTGCCAGGTGTCCAGTTTTGAACCAGACAGTCCAGTATTTGAGCTTTCTGTTTGGGAAACAAATTGAGAAAATGTAAATGAGAAATATAAATGTCCGGTATTTTCTAAATAAGATGTAATGTAGATTGTGATGTAATGTCAATTGTGTCCGGTATTTTTATTGAAACCATCTGGCAACTCTAGTCATAAGATCCATTATGTCCAGTCTGATAAAGTTTCACTCAAACATGGTTTGCAATTCCAATTTAAAAAAACCCCACACCTCGAGTGCACACTTTGGAAGTGTTAATATTGAAGCCTACTGTAATAGTTTAACATGCTTGTGTTTTAAATACCCCACACCTCTTGAGTGCACACTTTGGAATTGTTAATATTGAAGCCTACTGTAATAGTTTAACATGCTTGTGTTTTAAATTGAACATTAATAATTTACAGTATTTTTAATAAATTGAATGAGTCTTAAACAAGTTAGGAATTACAATATTAGTTCTGGATAGCAGAGTCTGTATGTACACAACTGAAGAGACAGTATAACTGTGCACCATGGTACACAGAGTATGTTTCTTTATACCTGCTCTTAACTCATGTTATTCTGTTCCTAAATTAATCTATGCTACTAATATGCCTAAGAGGCCACGGCTAACTTTTAGGTTTTGTCCCCCATCATGTATTACAGACAATTTATCAGAATAATTGGGTCTAACATCAGATTTTAAGATTCAATTGCTCCTCTTAATCCTGACCTCCGATTTCTGCAGGTTTAAAATCCGTTCTTCAGATGTTAAGATTCTGTGTGATGTTTGCTTTATTGATGCTACATGATCACTTGTTCCAAATTAGTCTTATTTCACGTCTGTCAAAGACAATTAATTTTGCTTGGGTAATAGGAAAACAGAAGGAAATCCCAGAGGTAGTTTTCTAGGGAGCTGTCAGAAAAGTAACAGAGGGAGCAGGGATGGCTACGAAGTGTTCACACTAACATTCTTTGTATGGTTAAGTGAAGACACAAGATGGAAAGAGCAGGCTTGTGAAGACTGCTTTTGTCTCCTCAACTCATTTGTCTGTATGGACATTGACAAATTTTCTAAAAATGCATGACTACTTTCTTTGCTCTGCTGCAAACAAATAGATGAGAGTCAAAAAAAATCTGCCTACAGAGTGACATATGTAACTGAGTTATTGTCTTACTTGCGAAGATCATACAGCTCCTTCAAACAGGAGACACTGTGCACGGATCGCGGTTGCTCAGATCTTTCATGGTTCTTGTGGCCTCGTCCTGATTTCTTTAATTCCTCTACTTGTCTCTGAAGGTCATCTATATGGGTTTGCAGGTTTTCAATAGTCTCTGTCAGACTGAAGTTAATGGACATATAAAACTGTTAAAGCCAGTCATGTTAAGTCAAGAGCATGACCAATAGTATGAGGTAAGTTATTATCCCCTCAGTCTTGGTGTTTCTTCCTCTGGAAGCAGATCCAATTACCAGTGACTAACAAAGCCACACACTCAACCCAGACTCCCCAAAATACATAAACTAATTCATTCGTTAATGTATTCCCTTCCATTTCCTCAATATAAAAAAAGTTGCTCCACAGAACTTTAGTTACCTGAGTATCTTTTGTTGTGACATTCTGCTATCTACAACGAGTTTTTGATTAGCATCCTCTAGTTCTCTTGCGGTAACATCCAGCTGTTCATAGACCTTGGCGTGCTGGTCATTCATCTGACGCAAGAGCTCTACTTGCTTTGTAAGGTACTGTAAGATAATTTGTAGTTACACTAAGTAGGATTAAACATTTAGCAATGTAAATATGGTAAGTTTTAACTTTAAATTCTTAAATAAGAATTTACAATTAGTTTCCTTAATGTTAAGAGTAATACAATGTACATTAGTTTTGAGTGCAATACTGTGGAAAGACGTTTTACCCTTATAGTTCTGGAGTGTGTCCCACAAACTGAAGCCCACTAATACTTTAAAATCTCAGAATAAAGAGAGAGACATCACACTATAATGCAGTTTCCTTAAGTTAGAGTAAGGAGGATTTAAATTACCACTGCATAAATTACAAATTTGAAATGTACCAGCTAGAACACTAGGGAAGTACTTTGCATTCTTAGACCCTGTCAAATCAGAATCTCAGTGTATGAAGCAGTCCTAAATTTAAGGAAACAGTTTAGTTTAGTCTTAAAACTATAGACTGAGGATATCTGAGTTACTATTTATCAAGAAGTATAAACTTTAATTACCCACAAAGAAGTAGTCTAGCTACTGTAAATCTCAATCAAAGATCTCTTGTGTTTTTAATTCTGTATGAAATGTTCTCACTTGTAATCCTCTTTATTCAAGTAACTTAACAGGTTGTTTATTTTGTAGTGGTGAAACTGCTTTTAGAAATCAGAGGATAAAGATTTCCAACATAAGAGTACGAAACCATCTTTAAATCCCTTGGTATTTGAAACAGCTTAAGCTTTCCCAGTCTTGAACATATCTATATCAATTTTACTACACACCAATACTTCAAAGTCCCAGGAACCCTAGATTCAAACAAGCACTTAAATCATCCCTGGATGAGAAATACCATAGAATTATAGCACTTGAAGGGACCTCAAGAGGTCATCTAGTCCAGTCCCCTGCACTCCTGACATGGCAAAATAAGCAAACACTGACTCATATCTAAGTTTTGATCTAGAATTACCTGCAGATTCCTTTCTGCAGTACTCCATTCATAAGTAGTCATTTCCCATTTTGTATGTGTGCAACTAATTATCCTTTCTTGCATAGAATACTTTGCATTTGCCCTTACTGAATTTCATGTTATTGACTTCAGACCATTTCTCCCATTTATCCAGATCATTTTGAATTATAATCCTATCCTCCAGAGCACTGGCAGCTTGGTATCCTCCAATCTTGGTATCATTCACAAATTTTATAAGTGTACTCTCTCATGATGTTAACATGTACTCGTTTACACTATTAACTGATAAACCCTAATCCAAATGACTGCATGTACACACACCTGTACCAGAGGCAAGGGGCAGAGAGGGAAGCAGAAGTCAGCTCCCATGGAGCCCTCCTACTCCCCACAGAGACAGCACTGTTCCCTATGGAGCTGCCTATCCCCCCAGGTTGCTGCCTCCGATATGAGAGTTAGCAGTGCAGAGGGTGGGAAGACAGGAGCCAGTATACATGGGAAGTGGCTTTCAAGCCAGCTCCTGCAGAGCTGCCTGCCCCCACAGTGATGCCCCTCTATAGAGGCAGCAGGGAGAAAACATAGTAGGTGGGTTTGACATAATTTGTTCTTAAATTCATTTTGACTATTACTGATCACCTTATCTTCTAGGTATTTTCAAATTGCGTAGATATTTGCTCCATTTTCTTTAGAATAAGTTGACTGAGTAGATATTTGCTCCATTTTCTTTAGAATAAGTTCAAAATTCACATTATTCTAAACTAGTTTGTCCTAAAGAAATTGAAGATACAGTGTTTCTTGAAGTATTAGGTTTTAATCACATTTTACACAGTTGCATGTTAAATGTTCAAAATAATTCACATCCACGTTGCCTGAAAGATTTCTAGATTAGGAGGTGGCCTATTATGTAATCAGAGCTTCTAATACACTTAACCTTTTACCCCATTAGAAGGTTGATGCATTTTAATCTTAGATAATTTAAAAAGCGATTACAAGTTAATCTAGGACTATGAACTGCTACATAACAATCTACTAAAATCAAGTAGATCCTTGTGCAACCCCTGGGCACATAACAGGATTCACTCAAAAATAGCATTGGATTAACCAAACAAACAATCTCAATGTGACCCACTTCATATTAAACTTTCCCTTGTCTGCCAGGCTCAAAGCAAGTTGAAAGTGTTCCTGATTTTTTCAACAGTGAAGAGTGACTGAGCATATAAAAATTAAGATAAGTGTTATGAATTTAGGTGCTTTAATACATAATGAAGAACTCACCCAACAGTAGTTTATGCGGACAGCCTATGCTTTAGGTAAACTGGAACTAGAACAACATAGAAAACAAGAAGAGCGTAATAATCTACTCTAAGAAGCGACCTCCTCTTACCCTGCATGTCTGGCTAACTTAAAAGTGTCATGCAGGAGAGGAGAGCAAAACCCACACGTGCAAGCATTGAAGTTTAGACTAGCTTTTCAGGGTTTTCATAAATTCATACTACCAGCTACATCAATTGCAAGGGAAATAGGAAAACTTAATACTGTATGGAGCTGGAAGTGATAATGTGCTAAGCAGACTTGCACACCACCAGATCACTATGAAATGGAGAGCTGTAACTCCCCATGTTTGTATTTACAAAAGATGTCAAGACTCATGAACATTCGGGTTCAGTTGCTCTGGAATTGATTTTAATCTGCTCTTGCATTTATTACATCCATCATGATTAGTTACTAGCATACGTGTCAGTGCAAAGGTCAGCTATAATGAGCATTAGGTATTTAGTCTTGGATAGCAAGTGTTTTAAATCTTTAGTTTTAGCTTCAAAATAAGGATTATGAATAGTTCTACACATTTCAATTCCCTTAGTCCTTCCTGTGCAGTGAAGACAAAGAAACTGCCTTTTGAAATGAAACATACAAAAGTTCTGTTATGCACAACTCTAAGTAATAAAGATCAGGTTAATTAGTGGGGGGGGGGTTAACTAAGCTGTCAGCAAATCTACACTAAAAAAGCAACACAAGTCTCTTTTGATAGCCTCTCCCACAGAATGTGTTGGACAGATTTCAGTTTTTCATTTGGCAAGATGATAGCATTTCCTTACCATTTATTCATAAAAATTAGTAAATTACAAAGTGATGGACATAAGAATGGCAATAATGGATCAGACCCATGGTCCACCCAGCCCAGTATCCCATCTCGGGTGTCCTGTGCATCAGACGATATGAACACAATAGGGCAATTTTAAGTGATCCTTTCCCCAAAGCAGCTAGTCAGGGATACCTGAAGGACAGAATTGCAACCCTGACCATCTTGGCTAATAGCCATTGACAGACCTATCCTCCATGAAATCATCTAATTCTTTTTTTAACTCCTCCTCCTCTGCTGGGGAGGGCCAGGCTGAGGCATGGCAGCAATGGCCTGCCCTGGCTCTCTGGGCCTCCCTCAGCCCAGCCCTGGCTTCCCTCCGTGCCCCCCCGGCCACCAGGGAGCTGGACCAGGCTGCAGCCATGTGGCTCCCCCCTCCAGCCCCTGCCTGCAAGGGGGGGGGGGAAGGCCACACAGCTCTGGCCCCTTCAGGAGGGGATAAGGCTGCATGTCTTGTGGCCCTTCCCCCCCGGGGGGAGGGGAGGAAGGCACCCAGTTCCCAGCCCCCTAGGAGGGGGGAGGCAGGAGGCCACCTTGCTCCAGCTGCAGGCTGGACTACTGGGAAGAGTAGGAGGAGACAGGGCAGCTGAGGGCAGAGGGAGGGGCTGAGGGATACCAGTGTGACATGATTATATCACACTGTCATCCCAGAGAGAAAAAGTGGGGGGGGAAGGGTTAATAATACAGAGATTTGTGGGGAGAGAGGATAGAGCATAAACTACTACAGACACAAAGAAGGAGGGTGTGTTCAAAAACATTTTGAGAACCACTGCCCTAGTTCTTGTGTTATGTGAAGGTGTGAACACCATAACACTTACTTATTCATGATTGTGTAGACCTCTATCATATCCCATCACCCAGTCACCTCTTTTCAAAACAAATAGCACCAGTCTTGTTAATCTCTCCTCATATGGAAGCTGTTCTTTACCCCCTATCATTTTCATTGCCCTTTTCTGCATCTTCATCTACAACAGAGTGGGAGACCTAACAGTTTGTGTTGCAGCTCTAAGAGTTTACACTCTTCAGACTCCTAAGGACCAATCTTGTACGTGAACCAGTTAGAACGATGGGACATTTAAAAGTTTCTGCATAAACAAACACAGAAAGGTTGGGTCTGTTTGTGGTTGGTGGTTTTATCTCCAGTAGTGTTTTCCTTTAGTGATGTTCCTGAGGTATGTACAGAGGTAGGTAAAGAAAATGGCACTTTTTGTCTATACAGCCAGTCCCCGAATTACGAATGTGATCCACGCTTACGAACAGCGCGGCTGCATTTAAATGAATGAGGTCCAACTTACAAACAGATCGGGCTATGACCAAGTGTTTGGTATGTAATTTGTTCGTAAGTTGGGGACCAGCTGTAGTGGGCAACCACTAGCTATTTTTTAAAGAAAATTCATACCAGAAGAGAAACCTTCAAACATCCTAGAATTTAAAATGCCATGTTATCACCAACAGAGCATTAGTTTGCTTCCATACATAGCCTGATACAAATGTCAGATTAAAGCTGTAATGGCTGCTATTATTATACTGAAAGATTATTTCAACATGCTCTAAATTGCAGGCAGATATATATTTTACTTTAAATTAATTACTGCTTTAATACTACTTGCATCATGTAAATTTTTCTTAAGTACCAATCACAGTTCATTTTACAGTTCTTTTCACTAACTGAAAAGTTAAAAATGTCTATCAATGAATAACTAGAATGTTGAATACAGGCAGTCCCCGGGTTATGTACAAGATAGGGACTGTAGGTTTGTTCTTAAGTTGAATCTGTATGTAAGTCAGAACTGGCATCCAGATTCAGCCGCGGTTGAAACTGATCAGTTTCAGCACTGGCTGATGCCAGTTCCGACTTACATACAGATTCAACTTAAGAACAAACCTACAGTCCCTATCTTGTACATAACCCGGGGACTGCCTGTATTCAACATTCTAGTTATTCATTGATAGACATTTTTAACTTTTCAGTTAGTGAAAAGAACTGTAAAATGAACTGTGATTGGTACTTAAGAAAAATTTACATGATGCAAGTAGTATTAAAGCAGTAATTAATTTAAAGTAAAATATATATCTGCCTGCAATTTAGAGCATGTTGAAATAATCTTTCAGTATAATAATAGCAGCCATTACAGCTTTAATCTGACATTTGTATCAGGCTATGTATGGAAGCAAACTAATGCTCTGTTGGTGATAACATGGCATTTTAAATTCTAGGATGTTTGAAGGTTTCTCTTCTGGTATGAATTTTCTTTAAAAAATAGCTAGTGGTTGCCCACTACAGCTGGTCCCCAACTTACGAACAAATTACATACCAAACACTTGGTCATAGCCCGATCTGTTTGTAAGTTGGACCTCATTCATTTAAATGCAGCCGCGCTGTTCGTAAGCGTGGATCACATTCGTAATTCGGGGACTGGCTGTATAGACAAAAAGTGCCATTTTCTTTACCTACCTCTGTACATACCTCAGGAACATCACTAAAGGAAAACACTACTGGAGATAAAACCACCAACCACAAACAGACCCAACCTTTCTGTGTTTGTTTATGCAGAAACTTTTAAATGTCCCATCGTTCTAACTGGTTCACGTACAAGATTGGTCCTTAGGAGTCTGAAGAGTGTAAACTCTTAGAGCTGCAACACAAACTGTTAGGTCTCCCACTCTGTTGTAGATGAAGATGCAGAAAAGGGCAATGAAAATGATAGGGGGTAAAGAACAGCTTCCATATGAGGAGAGATTAACAAGACTGGTGCTATTTGTTTTGAAAAGAGGTGACTGGGTGATGGGATATGATAGAGGTCTACACAATCATGAATAAGTAAGTGTTATGGTGTTCACACCTTCACATAACACAAGAACTAGGGCAGTGGTTCTCAAAATGTTTTTGAACACACCCTCCTTCTTTGTGTCTGTAGTAGTTTATGCTCTATCCTCTCTCCCCACAAATCTCTGTATTATTAACCCTTCCCCCCCACTTTTTCTCTCTGGGATGACAGTGTGATATAATCATGTCACACTGGTATCCCTCAGCCCCTCCCTCTGCCCTCAGCTGCCCAGCAGACTAGGGAGACAGGGAGAAGCCCCGTTCGTAAGTGCGGATCCTGCCTGTATTCTATTTACAGTGTAAGTTATTTGCAATTGACTTTAATACTTGTTGATCAGACAAATATTAAATATACAGCACACAAAAATATCACTTTTCTCTATTGTGCAACTAGAGGAAGCTTTTTGCATATGCACGAATGGCATTTGTTAAACTTACAGGTTTTTTTGTGAAGATATTAATGGAAACAGCTAGTCATACTACTTCAAACAACACTGGATTTTCAAAATCCTATAGAGATTTCTTCTACGTGTATTTTCTGAATTTAAGAACAATAATCCATCCATTTCATGTATTAAGATAGAGAAACTCATCTTAAACAGTATCAGTTCCTGAAACAGCAATTTTACGCAAACACAACAGGTACCTATCTAGTTACAGAGTTAAATGTAGTCAAGATACAAATATCCTACTCAAGAGAGGGAACCACGTGTCTATACATGTTATCAAGCTTTACAAATTCTAGAGTCAGACTAAAATGAACTGTAGGAAGCATTCAGGGGGACTTCTTGGAAGATGAAGTTTTGAAGGACTCATAAGACCTCATTAAAATGAAGTTTCATGGTATCCAAAATACTTCAGTGTCCACCCAAGATTATTAAACTCTGCAACAGAATTCACTACTTAAACATTTACCTCTATCTCTTGTAGTTGCTCTTGATTAGTTGCATACATTTGCTGCAAAGATTCTTCCAGTTCTGTGTTACGATCCAGTAATGTCTTCCCAAGCTCAGCAGCAAGATGCAGATCTAAAGAAATAAATCATCTGCCTGTAAATTTCAACTCCGGTACAACTTATTTGGGATTGAAGCTAATTCTCTAATTTTTTCCTCATTCATTCCAACACATTAGTTTTACTTTCCTCACCTGTCTCTTTGCCTTCTGTCATTCCCCATCTACATCTTCCCATTCACTTTGTCCCGTATGCAGATGAGGATGAATGGGAATGAGGCTCCCAACATGGTAGACAGAGAGCAGCATAAAAACATGAGGCCCAGTAGTGTACCACCAAGTGTACCCTATATCCCTGAATTAAACTAAATACTAACCCATGATAATAGGTTAGTCACAGGTTTGAGAGGAGAGCAAAAGCAAAAAGGCCTGGCCTAACCAGTACTTAACAGGTCTGGGAAAAAATTGCAGTGCTCATTTTCCTTCTGACCACCCCAAAAGGCAACTGAGCCCATGCAGCACCATTACACAAACAGCTGAATATTTTCAAACACACACTTTTTCTGATGAAACAAGAAGTTAGATAATGGGCTCACATATGTATTGTGTGTCTCTAGACTTGTAAACTGTACCAGACAGTGGGTAATTTCCCTTCCTCAGAAAAGATTATAAATGCTCTTTAGTCTCTTAGGCTAAGTCTACATTGTGCTTTGTTGCACAAGAACATATGCAAATGAGGCACGGCAATGAAAATCAGCGCGTCTCATTTGCATACTTAATGAGCTGCCATTTTGCACAAGAAGGAGCAGTCTACACTGCTTATTTTCAGGAAGAACGGCTCTTGCGCAAAAGCTCCTTGCGCAAAATGGCGGCTCATTAAGTATGCAAATGAGACGCGCTGATTTTCATTGCCGTGCCTCATTTGCATATGTTCTTGCACAACAAAGTGCAATGTAGACATAGCCTTAAAGATATTTGTAACTCAGCTTAATTTTCCTAAGCAACCTCCAGAATTCCTATGAATATAGCTTTAAAAAAAAAAAATAGAATGAGGACTCCAAATATACAGGGACTACATCTAAGCTTGGATGCCTTCCTTTAACTACAGCATGGATTAGTAAATTTCAAGCATATGAAAGAACAATTTACAAGTTCTTCTGTTGCATGCATCTCACACTTTGTGTGAAAATGGAAATCAATAAACTAGGTTATTACTAGGATAGTAACCCCCCTTAAACATGGCATATTTCATATAAAAGAGAAGTGCAGAATCCAATAGTTACATTGAAACATTCCTTATACAAAGATTGTAATTTTCCACTTCCTTCACATCACTCGGAGCATGAACAGATTGTCATATACCTGTAAGGTGGAAATACAATCTTGTTAATTTTTAGATATATGGAACTAGCAACACAAATGGTAGACTGCCAGAATACTAGGAAGGACAAGGAGAATTTAGAATTCTTTAGCCAAGATTTAAAAGTGTGTATACCACATTAAGTGCTACAGATAATAATAGGTATGCTGCAATATGAACGCCAATATTTCTTTACATTGGAAGTTCAAATGCCCTTGCTTTTATCTTGTTTCATTTTAGTTTGATATCTTATCTCTATCCAGTTGCTGTAATAGAATAGATTCCTGTTAAATATTGATTTGTGAACCCTTCACTTAGACAGTGTATTCAAATTATCACTATATTCTGATGCATAATCCAAAGAGCTTTCCAGAGTATAACTAAATTTAAACCCCACATCCTACAAACTACTAGAAGCAGCAAGTGGGAGGGAAATCTACTGGTCAATTGACTAGCCGATAAGCATTTGCTTATCCGATAGTCGACTAGTCCTTAACATCTTTACTGTAGACAAGCTCCCAAGATCCCACTGTACTACAACCGGTCCCCGAGTTGCAAACGGTTGACTTACGACTGTTCACAGTTACGACCAAAGCTGTCATAAATGGCGGACCCCGAGTTACGAACGCAATCTGCGCTTACGAACAGTGCGGTTGCGTGTAACTCTATGGGGTCCGACTTACGAACAAACCGAGTTACGACCAATTGCTTGGTCCGTAACCGGTTCGTAAGTCGGGAAGAGGCTGTACTATAGTAGTTAGACCCACATCTTGGGAATTAACTGCTAGTTGTAGAAAAGCAGTGTCAAAGACTCATGATATCCAAACCTTATACTCTGATTCTGATTAGGGATGTAAAATCCAGTTAACTGCTTAAATGGGGGACAGGTGGAGATCTTGAGCTGCTCTGGCTGGGCTGAAACTGCCACACACACAGCACGCTGCCCCAGCTGGGCCGGGCCTGCCGCAAATGGGGGTTGGAGCAGAAGGTGGGGGCTGCTCCAACCCACTGGCGGATAACTATAACCAGTAAGCATCACCCAATAAGGGTGATGCTTACTGGTTAACAATTCATATCCTTAATTCTGATACTCCAGCATAAGTTGTATACCTCAGTATAAGTGTACCATACAATTTAACTGAATAGTGTGGAAATAATGAATTAATGTACAAAAGAAAACACACACAATTATTCTCTGGTGACATACTGATAAATAGTTCAGTGATTAAAGGTTAGTATGTCATTGTACAGGCAATCCCCGGGTTACATACAAGATAGGGACTGTAGGTTTGTTCTTAAGTTGAATTTGTATGTAAGTCGGAACTGGTACATATTGTAGAGGAAACTCTAGCCAAACATTTCTCCAGAGCTCAGTTTTATTCTCCCACACCTCACTTCCCTCAGCCCTTTCTTCTCAAGCTGAGGTGTCTGCTGAGAAAAGCCGCTCTGCGTCTCCCTGGTCTGCTGGGAGGAAGCTGCTAGTGCAGGGTTGCCTCACCCTGTTTGTAAGTAGGGATCCGATGTAAGTCGGATCCATGTAACCCGGGGACTGCCTGTATAGGGACATCACTGCAGTCTTCTTACATCACATTCCTTATGTCATTTATTACAGTTCATCTCATTAAACCTAAAAGGTTCATTATTCAGCAAAGAGAAGTCCCTCATACAGTACCAAAAGTTTATATAAGCAATATTAAATTAATTTTTTTATGGATACAAAGTGTAAACACTAAAATGCACAAAATGTGTGTGCCATGTAATGGGTCTGCCCACACCCACTTTTTTATATCTACTGCACTTTTTATAAAATGGTCATAATAAAGGGAGAACTTTTGTCTTTTTTAACCTTACAGGAGTTGCTAGATTAATTTTCATCATGACTCAATTTGTTATGCAGTGCAAGCCCAGCTACACCTTCATTTTCTGAGTTGTCTATAAAGTCTCACAATCCTTGCCAACTTTACTTAAGACATTTAACTTGATATTTCCTTGCAATCTACAGAGGCAAAAAATGTCAGCTTTCATTCTGATTAACCAGAGGCAAAAATAAAGTTTAAACTGGCAGTCAAAAATAATCCTTTTATTTTTCTACTGAAATCTAACTTCAGTGAGTCTATAATCCTCCATATAATGTTGTGTATATAATGTACTATTTTGCAAATTCTAAATCCACACGACACACTAACTTTAAGTAATCAGAGGTCATAATTATTAAAGCCATTCTACAACAATTTGTAGCAACTTTTTCTGTTACTTCAAATAATGCAGTGTTCCAACTTTTACTTTATCATTACATGCGCAAATTTAACTGGCATTATTCAGGTTCTAACTCAATTAAGATGGATTTTTTTAAATAAAAGGAAAGAGTACATGCTTTGTTTAAATGATTGTATTTTTTCAAAAATAGTGTTATTTTTATGAAGTTAATTTTTATTTTGGATTTCTTTTAAAAAGGGATTGATAATTTTTTTGTTTGTTTTTATTACATTTTTTAAAATCTGAATTCCATCAAGTGTAAATTTTTTTCTTCATCCCCTATAAACATTTGTATGTTTTATCCTTTGTAAGTTTTAACTCAAAAGGGCTCTAGTCAGTTTGGTTTCCAATAACATTTTCTTCTCGTTTTCAAAACTTAAACACTGACCTACCCATGCTAAAACAGAGCACTATTGCAAATGTCTCTATTTTATCTCTTTTCTGTAAGGTTTAGTGAGAAGTAATCCTATTCCAAATTAATCCTATTTTTCTGGCTTATTTACAGGGGTGAAAATAACTTAAATTTCATATAGGTACTACCCTATTGCACACACCCCTGCTCCAAGGGCCCTCAGGGCAGGAGGTTGGAGAGAGTTGTGATACAAAGCAGTCTACCCAGTGAAAGGACTACTTAGCCAAGTAAGTTCATTAAGCGTGTGTAAGGTGTGTCTGAAAAAGGGATGTAAGAATGTAGCCATATAAACAGGTAACCAATCCTTATTGGTTACCCAAAAGGTTATGCTCCAGAGGAGCCAGCTGCCATTCCACACTGCTGCCTCTCTACCAAAGGCAGCAGCCAGCTCCCCAGGAACAGGGAGGCAAGCGGGAGCCTGTAATCACTGGGAGCCGGCTCCAAAGCCGGTTCCCAGCATGCATCAGCTCCCAGGGAGCTGACTGACACCCTGCATTGCTGCCTCTGATACAGAAACAACAGTGCGGGCAGCAGGCAGAAACCAGTATGCTCAGAAAGCCAGCTTAAAAAGTCAACTCCAGGCATACCGCCTGCTGCCCCCTGCTGCTGCCTTTTTAAGAGGCAAAAGTGTAGGGCAGCAGCCAGCTCCCTGGCAATGTTGGGGGAGGCAGGAGCCGGTTTCCACCCTGCATTTAACCATGTAACCACTGAAATTTTCAGTGGTTGGCTAACTGTAATTACATACATTTTAACATCACTAGTCTTAAAGAGTCAAGAAAAAGTAATCAGCTATGCAACTTAGATAAACAGGTGAATAAGGAAACAAGCAATGTAAATTCTGTCTTTAAAACATTCAGTACAATATAGCTGCTGTCCCTCTGTACTCCATTTCTTAGCTGTGATCTCAGAAACTGTAAATTTATGCCAATGTGTTAATGAAGTCCCAACAGATGCTTCAGAAAGGTCACTTTTCACTATGAAGCTAGAGTTATTGTGAACCACTTAAATAATGCAAATTAAAGTCAGTCACTTTATGGCTTACTCCTCCTCCTGTTTAATTATGTCTGGAATTTCCATACTAAAGTAAGACTTAGAAGCTGTACTTATTATTGCATTAAACAGTCCTTACTTAAATTACACTTGAGTACAAAACCATGCTGACACCATTGTTATAATTGGGGGGGCTCAACCTCCCCCACCGCAATGTTTTAATACCTATATACAAGGATTTAGAGAATTTTGTACAGCAAAATGATACTTTAAACAAAAGACAGTAAGCAATCCTGGTAAAGGTTTATCAGATCCTTGCTTTTAAGAAAGCTTTAGAATTGTTATAGTGGAATGTATATTGTACCTTTCATTCTAGGAATGTTAATAATTGTGTAACTGCATCAAATCTTAGCGGTTATTCGATAATCCCTAGGAATGAGTATGGCAGCCAGTATGCTCCCAGCCCTACTCTCAGGGAGCCCCCTGCCACCTTGTGCTGCTGCCTCTCCATGGGGGGCTGGAGTACCCCACAGACAGAGGCTGCACCAGCATCCTACAGAGCTTATTGGTTAATCATAATCAACTACACACACTCTCCTTCCCTCTTTGCTTCCTGTGTATCAGAG